TTGTTTTTTCAATCAAACTTTTATATCTAATAAATTTTGAATTAAAAAACAATCATCTTTAATAACAAAAACAAAATAAATGTTTTTAAACAAAACAAATATTTTTAATTAAAGATTAAAAAACTTGTTTTTCACAAAAACAAAATCAATGCTTTCGGCCAAAAAACCAAAAGTCCACACATCCAAAAATGTTGCTGAAATGGTTTCGGAATTCAACCAATAGACACCAGAGTATGTCAAAGTGCAACTGTCTAATGAATTTATGGAGTATTCATTTGAAAGACAAAAACATCAAATGAAAAAAGCTTTCGCAGTAAAATTCCATGGTGGCAAGTTCGCACTATTTGTCACCAAGAATAGTCGAAAAAATGCCCCACAACAATTCTTTAAATGTGTATATCCAGAATGTCCATGTCTCGTCAAACTAATTCTTTCACAAGACAGACAGCATGTTGCTGAAATAATGATAAAACATCTTCACACATATGGATTCACCAAGCTACCACCAACAGTTTACCCCGATTTTACCGACACTGAAATGGCAAATCTTCGAGCAAAATACAAACTGGGAGAAAAACCCGAAGAACTCATAAAAGAATACAACCTTCCATTTGAGTGCAAGACGTAGAGTTCTCTTCTTAGAAAAGACAAAGTTGACAATAGACGCGCACAGAGTAGAGATCTATTGAGTACTTTGAAAGCCAAAGTAAATGGAGCACAAATGTGTTTAAGTCGACAAGTGGAGTCTTTTTGGGATGTGCTGCTGTAAACATTTCGTTGTGTGAAACAGGAGAAGTTATTCTCGACGACACTTGTGGTACTAACGAATTTGGTCTTCCCCTTGTTACTGGGATCAACATAGATATACACAAACATTCTCATTGTGTGTTTTTTTGGAGTGATGATTAACAGGACAACAGAATCTTTTGTTATGTTATTTGAATACATAAGAAAATATATTGAACTTTTCAAGGTAGTGTGTGATAGATGCAAAAGCCAGTCGACCGCTCTTCTTAAAGTTTTCGAAAATTCTCTATAGTTTACTGTGTACGTCACATTCGGAGAAATCTCATCACATCTTTTACAAAGAGTCATCCAATTATATCTATTTTTAACAAAGTGGTGTTTGCTGAAAAAGTGAATATTATAGAAGAAGCGAGACTATTGAAGAAATTGACCAAACTTGCAGATGAAAATATCGATGTTCCTTTGGAAAACGAATTGTGTAATGGAGAAAATGACGAAGGCAATTATATCCTGAATACAGTGAACCAACTATTGGCAACAATCATTGAGTCAAACACCAACAAAATAGAGTCCACCCCAACCAAGTATAAAATGATCAAAGAGCTCCTTGAATGTGCGAAATCTTGGCTTCCAAGTTGTACTTTAAATGTAACAAAAAATTCAACTTCAAATGGAATTGAATAGTTATTTGGATGGTTGAAAAGACTTATAAGGTTTAAAGCTTTAAGCCTTGTTCAGGTTGTCCAAAACATCTTTCACTGTGCTAAAGATTTGGAAAAACTAATGGACTTTGTGGTGAAAATAAAGAAGATGTGATACTTTTGAGATTGTTTTGCATGGATGAAGTCCCTAACAAACTAACCAAAGAAACTGTCACTGGACTAATATTGGCCATAAAAAGCACACAAGAACCGATAATGAAACAATACCATTATACACGAAACCACAATTTGATGTTTGAAACAGACGCAATGAAAAACGACAACAACGACGCATTTGAAATGATAGAAAACGGCAAGAAAGTCACCAGAAAGTTGAATGGATGCACTTGTAATTCTTTTATAATAAACGGATTTCCATGCACTCAAATAATCGATCTATACATAACATAGTTCAAGAAAATTCGTCTCAGGTTGTTCCATCCAAAGTGCCTTAAATATGGAGGATTGTGTACAACTCACAAGTCAGTAGTGGTTGACCACAATCAGGCAAAAATCGTTAATTATTCTGACTACATTCATACACTTGAAAAGTATTACCCCAATGCAAAAGCAAAACCGCAAATTGTTGATACTATTATTCGTGTATTGGAAGGTGAAAACGTCACTTTTGGTAACAAAATTGAAAAGGAAGAAAACAACGAATAAACAAGACTATCTTTATCAAAGACAAGAAAGTCTGTTACAATTGTCCGTAATGAACAAATCACTGTGACCAAAAACATCACCATTGAAAGAATAAAAGATCCAAAAAACAAGAAAATCAAACAAATAAGACCTTCTACTCTTGTTGAATATATGAAGCAGACAATGAAACCAAGAAGCAAACAACAAAAAGCTCAATCCAAAAACGACCAACCAAATTACAAAATGCTTTTTGGATGTTTTCTCTGCAATAACTCGAACCACCATGCAAGAGACTGCGATATAATGCACGACAACCACATTATAAAGGTGTCTAAAGCCAAGCCTACAATTACATTTGGTGGATGTTTACGATTTGTGAAGGGACTTCATAATAAAGCCAAAAAGAAAGATTAAAGGCCATATTAAAAGTTCGTTTTTATTTTTTGTTTTAATTGTGTTTTTGTGGTTAAAGTATTATATATTAATTATTAATTAGTATATGTATTTAATATATATTTTATAGTTATTGTTATATTTATGGAAACTTCAAAAAAATTTTAATGAGATAAAAATCATCAAACAATTTTAGAATAATTTGATAATCTCTTTTTTCCAAATTCCAAACCAAAAAGTGAATAACATAATCAAATTTGTTATTCAAAAAAATAAGATTTTTTTGCGACAAAAAAAGTGAACATAAGTTACACGCGTGTGCTTGCCAAATCTCGAACCCTTTATAAATATATACTTTTATTTTCATTAAATTAAAAACTACTATTTTTTCTTTAATATCACTTAATTCTATTATATTAACTTGTATTATTATTGTTATTGTTATTGTTATTGTTATTGTTATTGTTATTGTTATTGTTATTGTTATTGTTATTGTTATTATTTAATGATGTAGTGTATACTCACCATTTTACACAATCTTACATTTAAGTAATGTATGTTCCCAGGAGGTGGGTGGGGGAAGGGGGCCGGCTTTAGAAGCCTTCTTTTTTGACTTTTTACGCGATTAACGAAATTGATTTTATCAATTTCGCTAAATAATTTAATTCGATTTTTTCAATTATTTTTTATTTTTAATAAAAAAATAATAAAAATTTGAAATATAACATAACAATTAATTATTTTATTAATTTTATTAATTAAATTCATTAAAACAATAATAATCATTAATTATTAAGTATAGGGGGTCTATAAACTGGTTGGGATCCATAAACTAGTTGGTAAATTAATTGGAAACTTTTTAAGGAAAAAACAATATTTACACGTATTTTGGAAAAGAAAAACCCTGCTCTGCAGTTTTGAGAAGTATAAAACATGTTAATTTCTATTTTTGTTTTTGTTGTTTTGCAATTTTAGAAATTAATAAAAACCAATGAAACCAAAAAACAACCAATGAATAAAAAAAAATCATTTATATTTTTTGTGGAACAAATATATTATTTCGGAAGAGAATCGCTTTCTCTTTTTTATCATATAACACACATTTAAACATTTTGTTAACACTACACAAAAAGTTGTCAACGACCGTGGCAAATTAAATTATCTCGCTCTCACACACATTATATATTATATTTTACCACAATCTCTCCCCGCATATTATAAATATCGCAATGAATGACTGTTTTGAGTTCATATTTTTTTTTCTTTTATAGTCCATAATTCGATTTTTTAAATCTGTTGACTTTTCAATCCATTATTATTTTTATGTAATTTTATCTTATTTAAAATTTGATTCGAAACAAAGTTTTTGATTATACAATTAATATAATTATATATTCAATTATAAAATTTCAATTGTTTATCGAGATTCATTTGAAATTTTTATGGCAATAAATGGCGATTAAAATATTTATTGAAAGCATTTTAATAAAATAACATTATTTTTAAAAATGTTTTTACTCAAGATGTATGTTATTTTATACTATTATATAATATTTATTATGTACATTTATTAGTTTATTAAATTATAATTTTATCAAAAATAATTATTCAAACATCAACTTATTCTTTAATAAATAACAGTGATCAGACACACAACATTCAAATAGAGTATTTAACATGCTGTTAACAGCTTTTTATTAACAACAACACTCACTCTTGATATCCAAGAATGTGTTTATTTAAGTTGACTTTGTTAATTTATAAAACTAAAACAATATTATAATTTATTATCAATAAAGCTATTTATTTTTCATTTTATTTTCAAAAAATCAACAACCTTACAATTATAATTGTAGTGCATTTACCTGTCATTCATTTCATTTTATTTATTCAATAGATGTTATCAAAGAGTCCATTACAACAATTTAAAATTTCAATTTTTCAAAATAAAAAAGATAAATTATTTTAACAGGGATTCGTTTTTCAACTTTTTAAAACACATATTTTTACATATTACCCTTTATGACGAACAATAATATTATAACCTTATCCCACATGTATCATATATAACACTTTGTGTTTAAACATATTAAAATAAATATCATCGTTAAGAGAAACAATGACCATTTTTTAGATAAATACAAAAACAAAGATTTCATTTTTCTTTAAAAAAAAAACAAAAATTATTGCAAATTTTACCCGTCACTTCGCAACGGGTTTGTTACAAAACAATATTTGTGAAATAAAATATTTTTAAAATTTACAAATACAATACTTGATTTACAAAAAGCGTTTATATCATTGGCCAGTTAATAAATCCATTTTCCTTCCACAAACAAATAAATCAAAATTGTTCCAAAAAGTGAGCGAAAACGGAAAATCAAGGGTTTTTGTTCTTATGAATAATAACAATAAATATTAATTGATTATGTTTTACATTGTTTTAATTTCGAAGTTTTGGAGCATTCCCCAACTAGTTTATGGATCCCAACCAGTTTATAGACCCCCTATAAATTAATTTCGATGAACTACTGTATTTGATTCGAAACAACATTCACCAATTGATGTCACACTTGATGGTATTGTAACACTAGTCAGACTAAAACACCAACTGAAACAATATTCACCAATTGATGTCACAGTTGATGGAATTGTAACATTGCTCAAACCAATGCATTCATCGAAACAACAATAACCAATTGATGTCACACTTAATGGTATGTCATTACCAAATTTCTCTCTATCATTTTGAGTGTAAGTGATATTTTTAAACTCGATGTTTCGATTTTTGTTTCTGTCAACAGTTTCAAAGTCAACATTGAACCACACAATGATTCGAAAGAATTCTTTCTTTAAAACAACCTTTATTTTCACAATTTCCATTTTCTCAGTGTTTATCATAAATCCATTCCCAAAATTCTCATCCTTGTAACGGACGGGCAATGTTGTGTAGTCATCCTCAAAACTTGCCGACGAGTCAACATCGACTTCCATAGCAGTTACTTCCCCAGCTCCTTCAAACTCCATTTTATTGGGCAATATAAGGAAGGGTTCGTTCCACTCTCCCTTGAAGTAAATCGGTGTTTATTTATTGGACAAAGGTGTTTATTTCCTGTCTCACAGCCCCGCATTTCTTTTTAAAGTCGCCGTTCTTCATTTGGCGCTTCATCTGAGTGACTGACGCTAAGAATTGGTATTTGAATTTGAGGTCCATTCCAGCCCAAAACGCGTTAACAATTTCAACACAGGTTTTTTGATTTGGCTTTTTATGAACAATTTGTCCCATTGTGTTCAAAAATTTCTCCTTATAAAATTGAGGAATACCCAAAAACATTTTCAAGTTGTTTCTTTGTGTTAGTATCAGAGCCGATGTACAACATAGCAAAGCAGATAAAAATGGAATATAAAGAGTAAACCACTTCTTCCTTCTGAACGGATGTGGTGTACCATTCCACGCAGAGTTTGTAGAGGATTTTTTGGAGTGTGGTGATGACTTGACAGTCGAGAGACATGATATATGTTTTTTGTCTGTTTTTTTATCGGCTTAAATATCGTGTCGTTCTACCCTTAAGAATCTCAATTGTGAGTTGTTCGGGTTTCGAATAATTGTTCAATTATACCCTGGCAGACATTTTTTTTTGCCGAGCCTTGTGTTTTTTAAAGCTTTTTGTCCCAAAAGTACACTTTAAAAAAGTTTTTTAAGTATCCCTTTTTTTGTCAACGAAACAGGCCTTTGTTAAAATCAAAAAAATAATAAAAGAAAAAAAATATTTTTTAAAATGAAAAGTCAAATTAAATTAACGAATCCTCGTTAATTTAAACTTTTTTCATAAAAAATAAGAAAAAACATATAACATTTTTTATATTACAAAAAATAACAATATATTATAATAATTATTAAATATTAATTAATCATAATAAACAAACTATTAATTTATACATTTAAAAATAATAAATATGTTAATTAAATTAAA